AGTATGGCACTCGCCTGATGTTTGTGGCGAAGTTGAGACCCTTACTCAATACTGATTCCTCAGAGACACTCATCTGATATTGGCTGATGTTGATTACTGCTTTCACTGGTGGGTGATGGACCTTATGCATCACCTTCTGATATTTCAATCTGTTTAATTTTTGTACTTGGTGAGCCTTGACTACATTGAATTCATTTCTGAAGGATTTATCCAGGTCATTTTGGATCCTTCTCTGGTCTTCTTCATTGGTAATTCTGTTGAAGAAATCCTCGAGCCTCTGGGAGATATGAGCTTGTAGTCTCTGTTTTATCCAACAATTGTACTGGATTCTCTCTCGGACAAAGGCATGTCCCGCATTTTCTGTGACCAGATGGGCTCTCCTTGAATTGATGGGAAGTCTTGGTGCCAAGCCTGAAGGGATGAGTTATATATTTCATTAAATATGACGGATAAGGAAAATTTTATTAATTTTTTTTATTTAGTTTTTCCATCCAGTGTTCTTACATTTATTCCATTTCATGGGAATGATTGAGTACAAAAACTGTCCATATTATCCATTGTCCTGAGTGCTTTTGGCCACTAATTCCTTAGCCATTTTCGAGAGGGTTTTGTACTCGATCACTTCTACCAAATGAAAAAATGTAAGAACGCTGGAAAAACTGAATAGAAAATTAATAAAATTTTCCTTGTCTGTCATATTTAATGAAAGATGTTTAAAGAAAGGTTGCTGCCCAAATATATACATACACAGTAGTGTGTATATATATATATATATATATATATATATATATAGATTTTTTAAAAATTGGCTCCAAAAATTAGTTGTTTTGTACTTTAAATATGATAACATTATTATACATGATTAACAAAAGTGAGACATGATTTTTTGTTAGAAATTTTATTATGACAAAAAGAATAAAAAAAGCATTTTGTGATTAGTCAAAATATCCTTCTTTAGCCTTGATAGCACAAATTTTTGCCATTCATTGCAAAAGTTTCTCAAAACATAAGTTTTATAATTGATTCCATTCTTTTTTTCAATAATTCTACAAGCTTTTTTACATTTTTTTTTTCCCTCTTCTGTCAAGTTTATCCCATGTTGATTCTGGGGATGGCTTCAAAATTTTGAACTGTAGTGTGTGTGTATATATATATATATATATATAACAAAGTGGAAAAGGAGAAAATAATTCACTAAGACAAAAATGTTTACAAAGTGCTTTAATTGCTAGTTCATCTGCAGTAAATTTGTGCCATGTCCTTACAACATTTCACCATTGTTGGCAAACCCCTGTTATCACAATGTGGAATATTTAGTAACAAAGAAGATGGAAACTAAAAGAAAAAGAATCTAAATTAAATTGGCTAAATTATATTTCCAAAACACTTATAAATTTTTTTTTTTTTTTTTTCAAATTTAAAATTACCAATGTTTGTGTGCATGTCTAGTTGCATGAACTTAAGCAAAAATAGTTTGATGAAGTCCTACTTTTCTCCACTTTGTCATAGATTTTTCCTCCAAAACTGATATATAAACAATTTATATATTGTTATCCCATGTGTGTGTGTGTGTGTGTATATATATATATATATATATATATATATATATATATATATATATATATATAGTCTCACACATATGGTGCAAATAAAAATTATTAGAGGTGACATTTTCATTAGTTTTAGAACACTGTATGCTGCACTTATGTGTGTATCATACACACATACTACAATAGTGTTAATAATATGTTTTATTCATAAAAGAAATTAAAAGCTTTTCTAATTAAAAACGTGTTAGTTTTATTGCATTTTTTTATTTTATGATTCAGAGCAGATTTTCTACAACAGGGGTCCTGTTTGATGAAACATTTTTGATGATTTAAATTCTTCAAGGGCTTGTCCTTATAACAAATATAAACATTAAGTAATACAAAAAAGAATTTATTGAAATTTCATAAAAATTATATGAGTGAAGAGTAATAAAATAGAAAAAATAAAAATTTTATAAGAAAATAGACGTCTGATTTTTGCTAGAATTTCCAAATTAATGTACAAAAAAACATTCAAATTTCCCATACATGTTTGTGGTCCTGCATTGACACCAAAAAAAAAAAAAAAAAAAATTAACCAAAATTTTCACAGTTCTCCAAAGAATAGAAAAAATAATTTTTATGTAAAAAAAATCCATTGATCTTTCCTCTTAATAAAGATTTTGATGATAAAGTTTTGTTTTTATCATGTTTTGGCCATTTTTTTTCATGATGTAACCGCCTTTTTAATTCCTTTTTGGCGGTACCTACAGAAGACTCATAAGGCCTACTAGGAAAAAGTAATTTTTGGAACTCTGTTTTATGGATTGATGAGGCAACTTGAATTGTTTGGTTAGGGTTTATCTCTGCAACAAGTTTAGATATAAAGAAATGTCACAAACCTGAGGAACCTACATTAAAATATGGGGATGGCAGTCTCATGTTTTTTAGTAGAAATGGGACAGTTAGTTGTTTAAAAACATTGGAGCCATAAAATCAGAAGAGTACCATGGTATTTTAAAATGAAAAATAAAAAAAATTCTATGAGGTACCTTTTTTGGAAAATTACATTTCACTATCCAACATAAGTAATCCTCAACATATAAGTGCACTGTTATAAAATTAGTTCAAAGACAATATGATTAACGATTTACTTTGGTCTGCTATCAATTCAGATATAAATCCCAAAATTTGTGATAAGAACTTGGTTAAGATTCATTCAAGATAACATTCCAATTTAGTAGAGTTAAAGTGGTTTGAATAATGGAACAATATATTGAAAAATTTTGTACTAATTATTAACTGAAAATGTTTACTTAAAGGCTCTGCCATTGGCAATTAGCTGAAGCTTACAGCCAATTTTATTCTTGACTATTATAATTGTTATATTCATAACATTACTACATTTTTAATTGAATATGTAGTTTTTTTTATATATGTTTATCTATAATGATAAGAATGTATTTTTATTTTCCAAACACGGTCAACACGTGGCTGTGTTCATAGTTGATATTATTGAGGGTTGTTTTTTTTTTTTATTATTAATTCTTCCATTATTTGTAGCCATTTTTTGAATGTGGACGAGGCTATTATGATTGTATTTTTCACAAGTCTTCTTGATAAGCATATAATGGTATGTTTAATATAATTATTCATGAATTTGGTTTAATTAGTTTTTTAAAGGGCATGTAAATTTATAAATAATATTGGTCCTCTTGTCATTTGAATCTTGCAGGTGAGTTGTTATTTTTGACAATGACGTTAGCTGTTTTAAACTTTTTTAATAGATAATTTAATTTTCTTGTTCCTGTCATCTGGAGTTGTGCATTTGTTTATAATGTTTCTCAGGGGTAATTCAGAAAAAGCCAACTCTCAATAATATCAACTATGAATATGGTCACACTATGCTAACTGTGTTTGGAAATAAAAGTAAAACATTCCCATCATTATAGATACACATATATAAAAACCTACATATTCAGTTAAAATTGAAAAAAAAATCCTAGATAATGGTTAATAAAATAGCTGTAAGCACTCGAATATATTGAATATTTGGACAGTTTTTACATACTTTATATCCAGAAAAGAAAACACTTGTACAAATGCAAGAAAAATTGAATAAAAATCTTAATTACAGCACCTTGTCAGTTGTCTTTAATAAAAAAAAAAAAAAAAAACTTATATAAAAGAGGGATTGCTACCCAAATATATGAAAATGTCTTGGGTGAAATTTGAACCTGGCATGTACATTTCCTTTTCTGCACTGTTAAACACACCAAAATCATATTATCCCATGGCCTAATAGATCATTAGTATATCGTGCTGGGTTCTTCATGATTTTTTAACTTTTGAGGTGGTTACTTGGTAATGTACTATGTTACTTGGTTAGTTACTTGGTATTTAGTTACTTGGTAATATACTGTTAGATGTTAAAAGCAACAAAGTACTGCATGATTTCACTGATAGTAGATTCATGCTTTTTAAAAAAGGTATGAGCTTGAAGAGAACAGAAGCTACCATCATCAGGATTTGAACTTGGTTCAACAATTCCATTACTCTTAACCATTAGGTCAACCTCCATATATTGAATATGAAAATGTGTTACATAGCATTTAAAACATTTCTAATATGTATTTGCAAAAAGGTTGCCAAAGTCACTTTTTCTTCAGAGAGATTTTATATTAGAATTATTTGCAAATAAATGATTAGTTGAACCCCATGCAATATCTAAATTAAAATTCTTACTACTAATATATATATATATATATAAGGTATGCTATATTTATGGGTTATAAAAGTGGATAGTGAAGTCAAACTCCCAGAGGCAACAGTCTGTTTCACGCTAAGTACAATCATCAGGCCTGCGTTTTTTATTATTATTTTTTTGTTATATATAGATATATATATATGTGTGTGTGTATATATATATATATATATATATATATATATATATATATATATATATATATATATATATATAATATATATATTATATTTTTTATTATCATTAGTATTATAAGATAATGATTATATGATGATGATGTCTAAACCCTTCCTCTGTGAAGTTAATTTGAAACATTGTTGTAAATTGTTTTAAATTCCTATCACTTTACCTCCCTTTACTTGTTATATTAACTCTTTTTTTGGGAAAATATCCCCACTAGATTTCTGTAGACTATGAATGTCAATGTACAACATTGATTCACTATGATTGATTTCTATGGCTTATCAACCCTTTGCAGGTTATTTATAGCCAGAAAATATTTTTAGATTGTAAGAACTTTTTTTGGGAGATAAGGATTTAATGATACTTATTGAGTTTTACTAGTTAACTCATAGCTGGTGGAGGAAGAGGTGGATTCATACTTTTCCCAAGGGTATTTGCACGTAAGTCATTATATAACAAAAACAAACTGGAATTGGAATTAACAATTCTGAGCCATTATCCATAACAACATTCACACATCCAAGCTTACAGCACTTGGTATTCCCAAGAGGTTACCCATCTAGGTACTGATCAGGCTCACTGTTGCTTAACTTTGGTGACTGTACTGGAACCAATGTTTCAACATGATATGGTCATAAGTCATGTACAACATTGTATCCTGTCAGCTGCTCCAGGATAACCATTGCTATTGCTACATTGATTAGGATCTACGAATTGTCTTGAATAACAATCTGATTCACTGCTAGAGTAAGAAAACCCAAACTTGTAAAAAAATTCCAAAGCTCCTTAGAACTTGATATTTCTTTATGGACACTGCCATTTTTAAATGCCAATCATTTCTCACCAGGTAATATCTAAGCCACTGAGGGGTGACATACAACTGCACTATTTTCAGTATGATATAAGTAGTTAAACAAGCTATGACATCATATTGGGAAAATATCTTGTCAACTGTTCCACAAGAAATGTTTTGCCAAATAAGTTTTTTTTTTTTTTAACATTTCTCTGAACTGGTTTAGGAGAGCAGATATTCAAAAGGGAATAACCCATGGCTGACAAAATGTTCCAAGTGGTCATTTTGTGGAGGATTCCTAGTCAGCTATTCACTTAATAACTTGTAACTTGAAGCCTACCTATTTGCTGAGACTCTATTCCTGAACAGGCTCAGTAAATATCATTATTTCAGAATTGCCTGTGAAAAAAAGCATGTTAAAACAACCCGTTTCCCTAACCAAATACAGATAAAAAAAAATGTTGCTTTTATTTTACTGTTTTTCATGTCAACATTGTAAAAAAAAAAAAAAAAAGACCTTTTTTATTTTTTTTTTTATTTTTTTAATTTTTTTTCATTTAAGAGATGAACATTGTTGGATTATAAAACAAAAAAAAATCAACAATGATGAGCAACAAATAGCCAGAACAAAGTTGTTCAGATAAAACAGCCTTATTCTACTTACATGTTTAACTGGGTAATTCTTTTTGATATGCAACTCCTACCGGAAGGTAGATCCTTATTTTACACAAAGATAATGGTGAAAAATTCAACATTCGACAGAATTCTGATTGCCAGTCTGATCTCTCTTCATACAGACACTATTTGAATTATTCACAGATTTCTGGAAGCAAAGGGTGTGGCCAATTTATTTACATTATTCTTTCATGTATGGAGTGATACTACATTGAATACTAAGTTCCAGTCTAAAATTGAGGTACATGTCCTTATCAGTTTTCTTGTACTACAGGTGATTTGAGTTAAGAGCAAAAAACTGGTAAGTAGATATGACGGGTTAAAACAAGGGATGGGGAGGAGAATGAAGCCAGCTGTACCAAATGTGAGAAAACTTTGAATAGGATCCAAAATGAAAATCATTTTGAAACTGTCAAAAGAAATTTAGTGAAAATACATTAAAAAATTTGTGTACATATAAATGAATATCTATTTTTAAAAATTTGTTAGTAAAATAAAGCATGCCTCTTTCTGGAATTACCAAAAAAATTTGCAAGACATGAAGACCACTCTAACAGGAATGTTAAAGCAACCCGATTCCCTAACCAAATGAAGATAAAAAAATGTTTTTAATTTACTGTTTTTCCAATCGACATTGTAAAAAAAAAAAAAAAAAACATTTTTTTTTTTTTTTCCATTTAAGAGATGAACACAGTCGGATTATGAAATAAATAATAAGAGTAGGTTGGAAAGTTCATTCAAAATTAAATTTATTTTCAGGATGAAAAAGGATGGGGAGAAGGCTTGAAAAAGTGTAAAATAAAATAAATGGGGGTTAGGGAGTTTGAAATAACAGTGAATAGGTTTATTCGTGACACAAGGTAGGTATGTCCAAAGGTTTTCACCTCAAAATCATCAATCTAGTCTAAAAATATAATTAAAACTAATTAAGGTTATTAAGATTTTATTGCTTGTACTCAAAAGAAAGAGCTGAAAACATTTTGTTGAAAAAATCATTAATCTTGACATAGAACTGGGATGTCATAAATTCACAGTTTATGTAAATTAATCATTGCACCATATTTAATGACACCTAATTAAAAATTTAAAAAATATATGAATGACTTGCAGTCTTTGGTGGTTTTTGTGTGAAACATTTTGGAAAAACTTTGTGGTTGGATGTTTTCTTTTTAACTCTGGAACATGTTCTTGCAGATGTTTTAATTCATGAATTTTCAAAAGAATTTTATGCTAAGTTATTGTATTCAATAATTTTTTTCTTTGTCTTCAGAATAATAAACAAACTACAAATTTCTGCAATGTCTACATTCCTGATTCTGTTTTAGTTTTTTTTTATCTTCGTCTGTAGGTAACTTAAATATGTTCTTCAATTTCCTTGTTTGTAAAACGCTTCCCGGTGGCCTTCAATGAAAGCTTCCATTTCTTCATCCATCATATCAATAAATCTTTCTCTACGAATTTCTCTTGCTGTGTCAATGATTTTCTTAACTTCTCCATCAATCTTAGGGAAACTTTTAAAAACAACGTTACTGTTTGCATTTTTGTAGGCATTTACAGTTTTTGGTTTGTCCACTGATTGCAGCTTTGATGAAAATCATTATATCTGCAATAGTTGACTTTCTTCCCAGATGGCATAATATCAGGATAATGTCTGCATAAATTGCTGCCCAAATGCAGTCAGATACCATGTGGGTATATATAGATTTTAAATATTGAATCCCTTGTCAAAAGGTTGAAACCATGAGGTCATATTTGGAGGTAAAATTACAACCTTGCCATATTTACTTTCTTAGCAATTTCAGGATGGCCAGATATTTTGTTTATCATTAAAAGAACTTTAAATTTCAGTTCTTAGTCTAAAGACTTTTTTCATATTTTTTCACAAAGTATTTCTGGAACCATTCCGTAAACAAAACTGCCTACACTCACATTTTCTGACCATGTTTCCAGAACATGTGCAGATAATTTGTGATTTTATTTTCATTCTGAAGACTAAATCAGGCTTTATCATCACTTGAAGGCAGAATGTTAGTATCAAGAATAATCAAGAGTGGCCTCCTTTTGTTTTGTTACTCTCCTTTTCGAGTGAGCTATTTCTATTCACTGGGACTATAAAAGGACACTATATGCAAACCTTGTATTTCTGAAAGCCTACACCTGCATACTTTTGTCATTACAGTTAGCATTAATATGCCATTTATTCTATTGGGCATTTTCTGTAATTATAAATTTCAGATAAACTCTTTTTGAAATGTGGCAACAATTTCTTCATTAACAGACACTGCTTCTCCAGTAATATTGACATTTTTTGGTTGAAACCTATTCGTAAATTTAAATAACCATTTCTTGTAGCGAGTAGTTTGGTGTCATGAGTAGCAGGGCATTTCTTGCTAAAATCTTTGTTTCAGTTCAATGTTTTCTGACACAATGCATTGTCATCAAATGGAACACAAATTCTGTTCATGTCTTCCATCCACAAATTTAATGTCTTTTCCATTTTTATTATACCCTTTTCATATGCTGTGGTTGTAACTTTATCTGTTTGAGATGAAACAGTCCCTAATTACTTATAATTCTTAATTTCATGAACTGAATTTTTTTTCTGTAAATTTGTGTACAGCATTTTTCTTTCTTTAATTAAGTCAAATTTTTTTTTATGCTTAAAAGAACTTTACATCTGCTTGTTGGTATATCAAAATTATCTACCTCATCTTGTGCTTTGGTGTTATTATTAATAAAATAACATGTTATTATGTTTGAATTAAGGCATTGCAATAGACATTTTATTGAATATTATTTTTACTATAAACTGTAAGCCCATTTGATGACAATTCTTCCATTAATATATATTTGACTAATATAAAATTGAATGAAACTTTGAGATTTTACCCACAGTATTAGATAACCCTGATGGTTGTCTATATTCCTGAGATGAGGTATTGTAACTATTTACACTATTTACATTCTTTGGACTGTTATTCTAATCTTTATTATCATATTCATGACATTTCAGCCATTGTATGCTCTGGCCTTCTTCAGGTGATATATACTGGAATTTTGAACCAATCACTTTTAGTCCATGGGGTAGATTGTCATAGTTCTATGTACTGTACCTTCTCTGGATGTTTTTGTTCAGACCTCTTCTCTGGCCAGGTATTGAACTCACAACTCTTTGGGTCAATTCACTAGATTACATCAACCAATGCTTTTATCCACTTGGCATTGTTGTTGTAATTAAAGGCTTATATTTGTATATTTACTTTTTTTTTTTTACCTTTTTATTTGAAATTGATTTTGCAAAGTAGTTTAAAAAAATTTTTTGAACATGATTTAATTTAATAAAAGTTTTGAACACAATTGACCCAACCGTGGAATAGTGAAATTAAGGTTAGCGATTCTGTAGATAGTAAAGTCCTACTTTATAAAGAATTAAGTCAGATAATAAGAAATGACAAATTACTCTTTGTTACAGCAAACAAAAAATAAGGTGAAAATTGTTGTACTGATGGTTTTTTTTTTTTTTTTTTTTTGTAACCTTATAGTGCTTTCTATGATGAATTGAATAGTTGATTAATATCCACCTGAATTGTTACCGATTGACTTGTTCTTGTATATATGGCAGCATGGAAAGTCAGGTATACTACAAACCTACTGGAAGACACATTGCTCTTTCATGATATGGTGTTTCAGGAATGTTGGCAGCAATGGACAGGTCCTGGATTGTCTATTTGAAACCTTTCACATATGATTATCCTGATAGTGCAACTGAGATGTGGCAGACAAGATTAAGGAAATTTGGTGATTTTATCTTCATCTCTAAATTTGAACAAAGAATATGGGTACCAAATGGTTGTTTTCTGATCAGTGCTGTGTAAGAAGGTTGAACAAGTACGAAAAGCCATTAATTTTGACAAAATGGAAGAGGAAAACATCCTGAGAATTCTCCTGGAGTTAACAGATAACTGTTTTAAAGCTTAACCAAAATGAGTCTTAGTTTATTTTTCTGAAATGATGGTCAAAACTGAAATATCTTTGCTGTAACCAATATTTTACCACAGATAACTCTACATAGACAGCAAAACACACACACACACACATATATATATATACTATTAGTGGTTAGTACACACTCACACACACACACATATATATATATATATATATATTTA